TTTAAACATTCCCTTGAAACAGATAAAAAGCAGACACAATGAAGTGCCCTCTTAAAAACTCTTTCTTCAGAAACCTTCATTTCTAAAAGCCTGTCAAACTAATAATCCTGCCAACAGAAGGATCACAAGAATAAAGCCATTGAAGCCTTCCCAGGGAGGGAGTTCCAGAGCCCAAGGGAAGGCTCTCCATCTCTTAAACTTATTCTGTATCCTGATTCTGATTTCTAAGAGTCCCAGGTCCTCATTTCTTTATATCTCACATGTCTGCTATCTACCTTCATTCCTTTCCCCACCATTTTCCCTCCTGGCTTTGTCATACTTTCCTGTTTCATCCATCACATTCACTTGCCACCATCCATTTCATACAATCCTTTCAAACAGAAATCAAGACTGCCATAAAGCAGAGTGAGGCAGCTGCTTCATATGGCTGATGCTGAGAGGCAGTAGGGTGTTGGTGGACATTGCTATGTGTGTGCCTTAGAGTTTGCTTTTCTCACGTGTGATGGAGGATGCTGTTCCTCAAGAGTGCTAAGATTCAACTGTCCATTGGGTTAGAATCCATCTGCAAAACATGGAAGTTCATCATCTTCTTCTCTATAGGAAGCAAAGTATCTTCTTTCAGGGAGAAGAAGGACCCCTTTGGTGGATGGTGAAGGAAGTTGAAGTTCCAAGTGGATGTCCAAGAAGAGAAGGCCTTACATGCCTAAGATCCAAAGTCTTAGGTCCCCTTTATAAGACAAAGAATTTGCAGTGCAGGAGGCATCCCTGAGCCTTGTTCATGTTGAGGTGAAAGATGATGTGTAAAATTGCTACTGGCAAGAGTAATAAGACCTTTCCAACAGTGACAGATAAATGCATTACAACATCATGTGCATGGTGCTCTGGGTGCAGTCCAAGAAGAAGGCAAAAACTAGAGTTGGTTACACTCATAGAGAATTATATCTGCATTGGAAGCTGATCTAAGCAGGGGCCCTTTCACACTACATAAATGTAACACTATTATTCCCCTTTAATTGCCATAGCTGCATTCTGTGGAATTCTGGGATGTGAAGTATGATGAGGCACTAGAGTTCTTTGGCAGAGAATTCTAAGTCCCTCTCCCTAACCTGAAAATCCTATTATTCCACAGGATGGAACCGTTAATGTGGAATCTCAGTGCTTGAATTGTCCAGCATGAAGGGGCTCCCAAACAAGAAAATGTCACTATTTTAGACTATAGTTCCCAAATTCCCTTGGCCAGTTGGCATTCTGGGAGTTGTGGTCCAGAAATAACCTCTCCAAGCTCTGGATTTAACACATATTAGACCTCAGTTGTGTCACAACCCATGGGGGAGAACTGTGTAACATTTTCACGTAGTGATAGCTGAAAAGATACTCAGTCATGTAGGCAAGAAGTCAAGTTGTGAGGTCAATGCTAGACTGTTAGCTAGGTGAGATGAAATTATGTAGTAATGGTACATGCTATATTGTTAAGCAGAACTATTGTCTTAGCCAGAGAAAATGACTGTAGACCACTCAAAGCATGTTGAGGGGGTACTTATATTGCAAACACATCTATTTTTCAGTCCCCTAAGTCACCAGAAAGGCTGTTAAAACAAGTATTTGTATGGGCATGGTGTGCCTGTAGTACCTTACTCTGGCCACTTGCCTCAGTGGTGCCCAAGAGCAAAGGATAGCTATCAACATAGATAGGGCTCCCTCTTCTGGTGAGGCAGGGAATGGAGTCCCGTCGGTATCTTTGATGTAAATCCCATGGCACTTTCAAGTGTGAATAAGACCTCATGATTTATGCTTCCATTTCCCATGTGCGGCTCACCCTTTGGACATTTTTCTTCTTTAGATGAGAGCTGGTTTTCCTGAGCCCTAACTAGACCGAGAAAGCTTTTAGCCCACTGCATGACACACACACCCCCCCAATTTTCTCGGCTGCTCTTTCACTGTCTAATCAATTATCTTCCTAGCTAGTCCTTCTCAAAGGTGAGAACTCATTATGCATATTCATAAATCACAGCACCCAGACCTGACACTGATGGATGTAATCATCTGCCTTCCTCCACAAGTCTCAAAATGGAGAAGGAGGCGGGAGCAAGATATTGAGATCTGCAAGGCAGCACCTCTCCAGGTTGTACACCAGGTATCTTCCCCCTTTTAAATCCACTGTCTTGCTGAGATATCCCTTGTAAGCCTTTTGGAAAGGCAGAAGAAATGAAAAAAATATCAGCTGGCTGCTCTCCATTATTCCATTATTTATTTAATCATGGTCTTGTTGGTTTTATTTTATGTTTTGTTATATTAATATTCTAGGACTGCAGATGATCAAATCAGTTTAACTGAACCATTTAAACAACATAATTTTTTTTTAAAGAAAAAAGATTAAAAGTATGTGAAACAATTCAATCAACTTATAACAAGTTACATTTGTACCTCTAGGTTTTGGGTAGAATCAGTTAGGCTCCCAAAGACACGGATAAAGATAAGAAGATGTTGTTTTTCTTGAAATTGGGATGACACCAGTGTTGGAGTCCATCAAGACCCTAAGGGAAGGATATTTCACAGCCAAGGTGCCACAATGGTGAAGGCTCTGTCCTATGTCTACCCACAATACACTTGAGTATCAGTGGGATGCATGGGAGGATGACGACTCCTCCACACTTTAGTCCTTGGCCAAGTATATATGGGGAGAGTCGCTTCTTCACATTGCAAAATTATAGTGCTTTGGATCCACTGTAAAGTGCCATGGCTACATCCTCAGGAATTCTGGGCTTTATAGTTTGGTGAGGCACTAGAGGTGCCCTCTCTGGCTGAAAATTCTAAATACCCCTCCCTAAACTGTAAATTCCAGAATTCCATAGGAGGGCAACATAGTAGTGAAAGCATACCCTCCAAAGGTCCCAATTTCGCAGGAACAATTCTGATTAATCCACTGTCATCCCACTTCTTTGGCTGCTTTTAAAATGCCCCAGTTTCTCTCTCCAGCTCCCACTTTCCTCTTTCACCTAGGTTTGCTTCAATTGCTGCAGAGTTCAAACGGAAAAGTTCAAAGTTGTGCTCATTTAACTCAGGAGAGGGACAGGAGAGGAAGGAATGGAATCTTGCCCTTCCCAGTAGGCTCAGACAGAAGCAAACTGTTGCAGGCTCTCCTAGCTTATGTATTCTTCCTCACTAATAACGTTTACCATCTTGACCACACTCCGATGTGGCTTGGCCATATGTGTCTGGGTTTTCAGCTGTGAAATATTGGAGGCTATAGTTAAAGTGCTATCAAAGCACTGTAACTGTGTTGTGTGAAAGAAATCAAACTTCTTATTCTATTTCCCTGCTTTCTTTAAGTATAATTATTGGACAAGTCACACTCTCTCAGCCTCAGGCAATGGCAATGGCAATACCCCTTCTGAAGAAACCTGTCAAGAAAACTCCATCATAGGGTTACTTTAGGGTCGCCATAAGCCAGAAATAACTTGAAGGCACACAACAACAACAATGTATAGTCCTAAGGGAGAAAATGCACCTATGAAGGAAAGACTGAACAGGAAAGTGATTATTAATGTGTCTGCTAATTAAAACAAGCAAACACCAAAATGTATTTTGCTGAATGTCTTCCTGTTTGTGGAGGACTGGTACATTTTATTCCTGGAAAAAGTGGGTTGAAAGCAAAGGTTCTGTGGTATTCGTTTGACATCATAGAATTATCTCCTGCACTCCTTAATATGGTGACACTGCATTTGTTCATTTTCTATATTTACTGCACTAGGATGACTTACAAAAAGAGGAATCTATATTGTAATGATGAAAGTGTTTCCTCTGGGTCATGAGGCACTTACTCCAAAGCAGACCCATTCTCTTTCATGGGATGGCTCTGGATTTAAATCACTTGTACAGCCTTAAGCAATGTGCAAGTTCATTGACTTTCTGTGTTTTCTTTATTAGCTTTGAAGAGAGCCATACCTTTCACCATGATGGTGAATATTATTTATGTTTCCCTGAGCATAACCATGTGCAAATTCAGTTCAAGTCATTCAGTTCATGTACATTCTATGCGGAATGGTTTTATTTTATTTTATTTTGGTTCGGGGCTTCTTTAGAAAAGAAAGAAAGCATGCATGATTTTGATCAGGGCTGTAATAGATGTTACAAAGGAGCAATAATAAATCTAATAAAAGAATGCATGTACCTCAAACCATACTAAGGATATGATTGAGGAAGTAATGGCTAATCAAGCGATTTTGAAAGCCTTATCTCCCCTGTTAACAAACAGCTATAAGAAAATTAAGGCTTATAGCCTGATTGCTTTTTAATCTAAGAAAAACCAATAAAGATATCAAAGGTTTTTTATGCCGAATGCTTTGCATGCAAAGTAGAATAACACGTCCCTTCCATGATTTAAATAAGATTCTATAAGTGTGTGTATTTCAAGTCAGCAATCCCGCAAATTTCATAGGGTTTTCTTAGGCAAGGAATACTCAGAGGTGGTTTTGCCAGTTCCTTCCTGTGAAATAGAGCCTACTACACCAGGCATTTGTTGGTGGTCTCCCACCCAAGTAACCAGGGCAGATCTTCCTTAGCAAGTCTTGCTCTTAACTGCCTTCGAGTCGACCTCAACTCATGGCGACCTTGTGAATGAAAGATCTCCAAGTCTCCTTGTCCTCCACTGCTCTGCTCAGGTTTCACAGACTCAGAAGCATGACCTCCCTCCTTGAGTCTAAGCATCTGACATGCAGTCTTCCTCTCTTTCTACTACCTTCTACCTTTCC